CCAACCCGGCTGCTTCTATGATTCTATTAATTCATCCTTCTTGCTTCACTGTCTGTAACATTTCTGCTCCCTCATTTTCTTTCCACTTACTACTCCACAGGAGCATCTGTCTCATCTTTTACCTTTTCACCTGCCTGCCTCTGTGAAGCAGGGCTGTCATTAGATACAGTCAGGTAGCTGTTCATGCTGTCCTGAGGAATAAATGAAAGTCAACAATTACAATTGATTTGGTTGTTAAGTGTGCTCACCTTTGTTCCAGAGTTGGAAAAGGAGCTGTAAGGCAGCATGTTCCCAAATGGTGAGGCTTATCGACTTTGAAAATGCTGCAGAGATCTAGCCAGAAGGCACAAGAGATGGGTACATTGAATTTTGGATTTCATTTCCCATGTGAGTCTCCCTTCCCAAACCTTAGCAGTGTGAAGTACTGCATGTGCTGCTTAGCCTCAGTTTGTCAGATGGCTTTGGTATCACATCTCTTGTCTGATCACATGACATCTCACCACAACGAGATTTTGAAGAGGATGATTCCCATGGTCTCTCCTATTACCTTGAGGAATAAGATGAAGGTGAATCTTCCTTAGTCTCTACAAGCAGCTTTTGTGCTCAACAAGAATGCAGCCATCACTGAGTGATTCAATGGGTTTCATCATTGCACTCAACAAGGAAAGTGTGCTCTACCCAAATCTGTTTCCTTATATTTTCATGGTGGCTTTTTCTTACTTTGCTTTCACTATTGCTGCATGGTTCTGGTAAGGTTAGGTCATCTGCCTTCTCTTTCATCCCACTGTGGGATTCCACTTTTCTTTCTCTAAAGCTGAAACAGAAGTAGCAGGAAGTGTTACCTACTTTGGTATCTTTTTCTTTGTTAAGTCATCATAGTTCATAAAGCTTCTTTCAAAGTTTTTATATAAGTTACTGGATTTTTTTAGGATAAGATGTGCTGTGTGTTAAATTTTCATCAATGTTACTGCCATCAAACTGTACCTGTAAATGCAGTAAATTAAGCTGAAAGATGGGGAAACATGAAAAGAAGAAACATACTCATTAAGAAGGAAACTAAGAAGTCAATGTTAAAGATGCTGTATATTGCTGACATTTTGCTTGTGCTGTCTGCAGTTTATGCTGTCTCATAGTAGCACAAACTGTTCCACGTATACACTAATCCACTACACTTGTACTGTGTCAGTGATGGAGGAAATAAAATTCTTTCCTTGGCTTTTTGTTTTTATCATTCAAGTGCTGCCCTCAGAGTGGTATCGCTAATTGAACTCAGACTGTAAACTGGATGGTGGATTAATGTGTTGGAAATTAGCACAGAATGTACACAGCTGAGGGAAATGAAAGAATCCCCAGTTTCCTGTTGGCAAGCCCAGACATGATGCAGTTCAGCTTGTTACTGGCTGTATTACACGTTCTGACATGCTTTGAATTCACTGGTTTGTAAATCACAGCACTGAAGATGGAATTCCTTTGGGTCTTCAGTGTTCAATACCTACTTGAAAATTGTTCCTTAATTGTAACATCCATCCAATTTCCGTGCAGGAAATGGCTTGTTGAGGTGAGAGGTGACATTGGAAGACCGTGTTGTGAGGCAGTGAGCAATACATATCATAATGCAGTGTTTCAGATGAAGAACTTTATTGGCATGTAAAAGTATTGCAATCTGTCGAAGAGTGAATGTAGTGAGAATATTGCACTGAGAAAGTAAGAAAGCACTGATTTATATGGGAAACAAGCAATGGGTACTTTATCACACATTTTACTCAGTTATTTTTTTACATCTTTCATCATACAGGTTCTCCCTGCTTGGGCTTCCTTACATTTATTCTCTGTTACTGCTTGCATTCTCTTGTCATTGGGTCAAATGCTGCACTGTTGTGCAGGTTTTATGGGTAGTTCATCACACATTTCATGTAGGTTCTTGGCACAAACTGTCTTGACGGAATGGAGATAAAGAGGATTTTGAAGAAGGATTTATTATCCTGTAGTGATAGTTTTCCATTCCTTGAGCTAGTATATCACCTTCAGCCAGTGAGTGATGGATCCTGGCATGTCACTTTTGGCTTGTTTATGTTTTTGTCTCCAAGTATCATCAGTTACAAGGTACGAACATTGACCATTGGCATCCGGTGGGTGTTTGGTGTTAATTTTGGAGGTTGAATAAAATATGAGATTGCCCAACTGCAAGAGGATCAGGAGCTTGAAAAGAAGCCAGAAAACACGGGAGCTAATCTGCCTTGCAGTTCTGGTGTGTGCGGAAGTTGGGTAAAGTGGAAGGGAATATGGCACTTGAGCTTCTGAAGAAGGATGGACTTAAACATGTAAAATACAGCAAGTATTTTTGGAAGCCAATGTATTGAAATAATTGTCATTCTAATTTTGAAATTAGACTGTTGGCTAGTAAAGCTAAATCATTAAAAAATGGAATTTAATATGTTAATTGATCAGAAAAAAAGTCTGAACTCAGTTAATATGAGTATAAACTTTTATTATTTTGAAATAGTGTTAACAGAGCTGAGATTATGGAACAGGGAAGCATTATGTTATTACCTGTGCTATTGTATTTTTCTGCTTCCCCTGTTCAAACACAAGGATGGTGTTGGAAACACCTTAGTGAACGTGCCACTGTATGTTTGTGTTAAGTTTTTTCTAGCTTTATCAAATACATGAGAAATAAGGAGATGGAAAAAAGTTACGATGAGATGCATACGTGCATATAGATGTATTTTTCCCACTGCTACTCTCTGCAGCTTGAGTTTTGCCCCTAGAAGACATTCATCAACCTTCACTTGCAGTGGTGTGGATTAATATTGCAACTCTACCAGTTTTTCCCTCTTATGTGTGGCCATGAGAGGACTCAGATATTAACTATTGAAGCTTTTGCAGTACCTGCAGTCTTTTTCTTTTGTGCAACAAGTGCAAAGTGGGTTTGCGAGGAGGAAGAGGAGGCAAGTAATGAAGATCAGTGGGTATGTGTTTCTGGGAACACTGGAGTAGCCTCTCTTGTACACCACTGGTAATAACAGTAATATATCTTTCTGGTGAATGAAGTGCAGGGCTGTTGTGAATCCTTAATTATTTGACACACAAGGGCTTCATAAGAAATTGCTTCTCACACCCAGCTCTGTGTGTTAATCCCTGCTGATACATGTCACTCTTGATTTACAGTCTAGTTACTGGAAATGGCTCTGTTAGGGCCATTACTTAATGCCGGGTTTTAACTCCATTGGTTACTGTTTGCAAATCAAATCAGGGGTACTGGCTGCCTTAGGTGTTACCTTGTTTACATAACTAAAGTTTGAGGGTTAAATCCTCAACCATGTGCCTGTGAAATGTGCAGAGGTGAGCTGGTTTGCATGTGCCCCAGCAGTGGGGGGTGCAGCCCAGCAGATGAAAACCTGGAGCCAAAGCTTGAGGACTTTGTTGCTTTCCCAGATTTTTCATAGACCTAATATGAGATCTCGGGAGGTCCCTCACCTGCTGGTGCATTTTTCAGCTCTTCTCTCCTTGTTCATTTAGATTGTGTGTTCATGAGAGTTTGGCCTTTTTCATGTGTTTGTATCGTCCTGGCACAGAGTAGTAAATGGCAAGAAGAGTGACTGTCATGTACTGGAATGCCTTTTGTTTCTAGTAAGATACTTTTTGTACCCCAGTGACTAGGTTGCAGTACCTGTTACTTTATTAAAAAAATAAAAATGTAGGATGCATGCATACTTTACAATGTAAACAGTCCTTCCATTTGTTGCTTTTCAAAGAAAACTCATAGCAGCTCTTGTTGTTGGTAGTAAGTTCAAAAACCTTATGCTAATTACTTTATACCTCACTATATTCTCTCACCTGGATAGCTTCCTAACTTTTCATTGTCCTTCCCATGAGGGATTTGAAGTGCTGTGAAATGCTGATGGAATAAAACCTTGTAAAGTTCAGCTGGCTGTGCCAGAATTGTGGTCCAGCAAAAACCTAACCCTGGTTTCCACTGAATTTAATGAGGGAGAGGGAAGATAAGGAGGTTAAGTAGATGAGAGCTTTTGCTCTACATTTTTAATGTGTGATTGTATTTAACAGGCATTGGGGCAGAAGGAAGAGGGTCAGGTCCCAGAGTGTTCTCCCAGGCTCTGCAGTGCTTAATCATGACACGATGAGTTAAGAACAAATCTTAAACTCAGCTGCCCCTCAACCAAAATTGTAAAGAAACATCATCTCTAGAACAACAGGCAGGTAGAGGAGCGTGACAGGGACTAATGGTGTGTGGTTATTGCGTTGCAGATTCCCTGTATACATAGAAGAGAAAGCTCTAAATACACTGGCCTACCTTTGTGATGGCGATGCAAGGACTGGACTGAACGGACTCCAGTTAGCAGTTCAGGCCAGATTAGCAGTGGGGAAGACCACTCCTTTGAATATTCCCAAAGGTGGCTGTGCAGATGGCATTCTGATAACAGAAGAGCATATAAAGGAAGGGCTTCAGCGATCTCACATCCTGTATGACCGAGCAGGTGAGTACCTGATAACAGTTTCTGAGATTGCAGAGTTCTCAAAATGTCTCTGTAATTTCTGCTTCTTCTCCCTTTTTCGTACCAGCTGCTCTAGTGAAACAGTGGTTGTACTGAAGTTTGTCCTAAAAACTACTTTTCCTTTACAATGTAGTTCAGCCAGAAATTCCTTCTAAGCAGGGTTTTCTCTCAGCACTTACGAAACGTGGGCTAGCTGAAAGACATATTTTCTGCACTGCAAACAGTTGCATGGTGAAATTATTTGGTTTTTAGTGTTATCGAGAATATTTGCTTTTGTAAGGGTTGCAGTGTAAGGAGGGGGAAGAATTTGGTGACATTTTTCTTGGGCAGTTTGATATCTTCCATTGCACTTCTCCTCCTTTGAAAGTCTTGTAAGTGCTCACATTTGCAGCAATATGTCAAAATCTGAGCAGTTTGCTTTATTTTTGGAGTTGCTTTTTAAGGTAATGAGTTTTGTAGTTTACTTAAGGTGGATCACATAAATCTAATTGCATTTAAGGCTTCCTAATGTGATAACCACTCTTGCTAAGTTTGGGACTTGGCAATGTTAGGCATCGCAATAGTTGTCGACTATGCCATTTTATGAGAGGGTTAAAAATCAGGAAGTGAGTATTAGAGATGAGGTGAAGCCCCTTGAATGTATATGCTAGTTCTTCAGCAATACTTGAATGACCATGCAGGATAGTCTCAAATGATAATGTGATACTATCAGTATTTGGAGAACGGACTGATTTTTATTTTGCCACTGTATCTGATATGCTCAATTAACCATCACTGTTCAAAACCTGTGATGAGAGGTTTCTTGAGGCTGGTTGTAACATATATGCTTTCATGAAGCCTTCTTGCTACTGATGACTCACTGTCAGGAAAAGGTCAGCTGGGCAGATACTGATAAAATGGCAGCTGACAAGTCGAGGGTAGGCAGGGGGAGGGAGAACAAAAATTTTATGAGGTCTGTGGCAAGAAGAAGTCATGATTAGAAGGAAGTGGAAAATCTGACCAGTTTGCTGGTGTGAGTCTCTTGTGCCATGTGGGTCCCTTGTGTTTGCTGTCGCCTTGTGGCCACTGTCACACAGAACTCTTGGCTGTGTCTGTTGCTTCCAGCCGTCTTACACCCACTTGCCCTGTTAAAGATGGCACAGAGTACCTCTTCCTGAGGTTTGCATCAAGTCTAGGTAATATGTGTCAGCCCCTCCTCTGTTACAGAAATCCTTGTTGTGGGTTATTTTTGTTGTGGGGGGTTTTGTCTGAGATTTTCAGAGTGGTGAGAGCAGTGAAAATTCTATTTTTCTTAATTGTCTGCACGCCGAAGAGCTTGCCACAGATACTGTCACAGTATCAGGTTGCCCCAGTACATGCCTTTACAGAATTTTTCTCTTCTGTTGAGTGGTCTGGATTTTTTTTGTTTTTGTTTTAGCTAATACATTTTGAGTCACAGTTGTGGTGGTGGAATCTACAGTCCTCTCAAATAAAATGCTTCAGCCTTATAAAGTGGAGGGACATGATGCTGTCTGATCATGATAGCAGCAACATAAATTTGAGTGTACTGTGTTTGTGTAGAAAGCACCAAATATTGATTAGCATTCAGAGTTGTGCAAATATGGAATTTTGATTTTACTGAGTTTTTTGTCACCTTAACATTTGCCAAATACATGTAGCTGGGCATTCTCTTCTGTACCTTCACCAAGTAGTCTAGGAAAGAAATTATTCACAGTCCAGTCATTAGGCTATTGTTCTGATCTGTGTGCAGACATGTAAAGACAAGGTCTTTGTGCAGATAGTCTGTGTGTTTTGGCTGGAAGGATGAAGAAACAACTTTAATCAAATTTCATTTCCAGCACCTGCCTGCAGCCCTTGCAGTGTAAGAGGAAACAATATCTTAGCTTTTAATTGCAGTCTTTATACTTTTGATTCTTGGAGAAGATTATGCAGCAACTAAATAAGTTTAACTGCTGAGGGACAGTGAATAGATTTTTTTAAGACAGAGTCATCTCTTCTTGATAGATTGTCTCTTCTTCCTCTTACATATTGTATCTCTCTGCTAACACTGATTTAATAGTGAATACTTCAGATAAATGTACAGTAATTGGACTGTCCATGTGGTAACACAACTTCAGTTATGGTAAAGACTGGGAATGTGTAAAGCTGAAGTTAATTTATTCTGCAATTTGGCACACAGTTTTTTTCCTCCTCTTCTATGGAGGAGAAAAGGGAATGTGTCTCACACTATGGTTTTATTTCAGCTGAATTTTGTTCTGCTGGACTAGAGTGAGAAGTCTTTTTATACATTCTGTTGTTCTAGTCTTGCTTGCAAGGCTTTCTTCTGTCCTTTATCAATGAGCAGTTGATGCTTAGCTTTGGCTAAGATAGAAAATAATGTGAGATGGGGACTGTGATTTTACTTTTGCCCACTACCTGATAAACAGGGATTGCTTAAGAAGTCCAGATATTAGGTGTGGTCAGTGAATGAGACCTTTTCCCTGTCTTCTACCAGTAAGACTTCAGAGAAATGAGCATCTTAAATTAGCCTGAAAACTTGGCATGAGCACGTAAAGCCATTTATGGGCATATGTCAACAAGATTTATGCATCTGTATATGTTAGACACTAGAAAATTCTCTCTTCCACAAAGCTTCGTATAGTATATTGTTTTGGAAAGGCATTTGCCTTTGTGGGATCTGCATAGAGCAAATGTATTTTGATTCCAAAAACTCTTGCTAGTTTTGATTTTGAGGGGTATCTGGGATGCAGAACAGGAATGACAGATAAGCTGGTATATGTCTGTCTCTCAGCTGAATTGATAAGGCCAAAATCTGTATGTTGGCTAACCAGCATGAGAGGCAGAGCTAATAAATGAAGGTCTACTAAAAGTTATGTTTAAGGTTTTTTTAAAACGGTCCTTGGTATCTCAAATAGAATATCCATAAACTGTATTTTTTAAACAGAAATGTAAGAGCTCTGTCCAATGCATGTCACTGTGTTTTGCCCTGAATGGAAAGTGCATTTAATGCAGTTTTTCTGAAGAAATCCAAGTCCAGTGTATAAGTATTGTCATTATATCAAAGGCTCAGTCAGCCAACATTAACTTTATGAGGAAGGAAATAAAGGGAGAAAACTCTTCCGTTTCTCAGCCTGTGTACTCGTAAGTCCCCTGCACATATCCACTGGATTCCATCTGCCTCTCCAGCTGGTAACCCCAAGCATGACACTTTACAGCAGCCCAACAGCATATAGAAGCACTCCAGCAGAGAAATCTGGGTGAGTGCAACCTCTGGAGATATTTAAAGGCCATCTTCCTTACTTTTAAGAGACCAAGAGACGCCTCGTCCAAGAGGATGATGCGAGTTCAGCTGCTTGGGTTTACTGCTGCTAACTCAAGTGTTCTGATGGAGCATGGACATGCTGTTTGTGTTGGCACAAGTAATGGCTGCATACCACAGGGCTCTTTGTGCCGAGTCCCAGCAAAAATAGCTGTCTGATGGCCTGTGTTCTTCGGCAGTGCGTGTGTTGAATTCCCCACAGAACCACACTCCAGCATGAGCAGAGATGGAGAAAGATGGACCCAGTTTTAGACATGCTTACTATGAAACAAGGGACTGCAGCAGTGTGGAGATTCTGGCTTTCAAACTCATGCATGCAGTATTTTATTTTGCAGGGCCTACAAGTGACAGTGGTGTGTTCTGATACAGCCCTCAGGCTGTAAATCCTTTTAGCCTTAAGAAGAGAAATATTGACAGATGGCTGTGCATGCAGCCAGTTGCCTTTATAATACATACCTAGCTGTGAGCCAAGGAATGCCAGGCACTTGAAAAAATAAAAAAGGCAGAGGGAGAGTTTATCAACAGTATTGTAGCAAAATATTCTTATGAGTTGATTAAAAGAAATACATAAGCTGGACAGGGAAAAATTGCAAGCAGGAAGGGTCTCATTCAGTGTTTGTAATATTGGCCCTTTATTTTTCAAGTGTAGCCTTAAAAGATCTGTGAAATGGGTTTGTTTCTCCTTGGACTCCATATCAAATCATATATTAAACTTTAATGTTCAAAAAAAAGAATTCCTTGTAAATAATTCAGAATTCTCCCTTCTTATTTAGAAGTCTGGCATTTCAGGTTTTGTTTGTGTGGAGTTTTTTCTTTCAATTTTCAGGACCCTTCTAGTAGTGCAGGTGTCCACAACTGACCTCAGCATTTCTTAGGGGTTTGCCAGGGTTGTGCACTGCAATTCTGTTTCCTCCAAACTCTGCAATGTTCCGACATTGTATAGCCACAGCAACGTTTCCTTCCCCATGCCCCCCACCACCATCCAATGTAATACATCAAACTTGTGTTTGATATGGTGCTCTCTTTATTTTCAAGTTTTAGTTGATGTGAAATTTCTTTTTTCTAAAATATCTCTACTGTACAGCACTGGATTTCTCTGATTCTTGTGTTGCCTTCTCAGAGCTCTGTGTGTGTGTCCTAAAGCAATTTATATAGAGTCTTCTTCCTAACTGCATAAAATATCTGATGTTTTCTTTTTCTTTTGAAGGAAAGGTCATTAGGGTACCAGAACCAAATTATTTGCCTTGCAATTTTAGAAAAAAAAACCCTCCTGTTCATCTGGATTTGCTCTGTTTTGCTTATGTAGTTGGTGGAATGATTTGTGTGGCAAAGCATGAAGGCATGCAAAACATTACTGAACACCATAACCACATGTATATGTAAAAAGAACTTTGAAAAAGTTTACCTGATATGATCTAGCAAAATACATTCTGTTCCCTTAAATGCATTTCACTTAATTTCCTCCTAACAGCTTTCTGTATCACTTCTCCCCCATTCTAAACAGGAGAAGAGCATTACAACTGCATCTCTGCCCTGCACAAGTCTATGAGAGGCTCAGATGAAAATGCTTCCCTGTACTGGCTTGCTCGGATGCTTGAAGGTGGTGAGGATCCACTTTATGTGGCAAGGAGGCTGGTGAGGTTTGCAAGTGAAGATATAGGTCAGTATGTGCAGTATTTCATGTTAGAATATTATGTTGAATGAAGATCTGCCAGGCTTTTGGTTTCTAAAATAATGGCTTTTGAGAAAAAAACAACCCCAAAACTACAATATGCAAGATAGGTACAAAATACTGAAATGCTCCAAATCCAGTAAAAGCTTTATATATTCAGGCAGAGACCTGCATGTGGTGTCATTGTGTTGATTACCTATAGCAGGAGAAACAAATGTTTTGAGGTCAGGTTTGGCTGTGTATTAATATGGGTTCTTTTAAACTCTGGTGGTTGTAGGTGGCCAGTAAACTTGTGTCACAGAGAGTGTGTATTTCAGGGGTGTTTGATTTTATTTTTTTTTATTTGAATGAGTCTGGCAGGTGAATGCCTACCTGAACTCACAAACCTCAGTTTTGATAGCTGGCTCCCTATTTGTAAGACATCTTGGTTGACTTATCCAAGGTAACAGATGCAGCAGCACTTTTAGCATATATGTGATGGGTGAAGAGTTAGGAGAGCTGGGGAATTTATGTCCATATATCAGTATTTTCCCATTTCATTCTCAATTCCAAAAAATAACTGAATCATATGGTCAGCTACTGCTCAGGCTGCCACCGTGTGGCAGCACCTTCAGTCTGTACATGTGTATGGCATGGTATTGTGCCAGAAATTCCAACATCTGAGAAAGCAGATTTGAAATGTGCGTGGATATCTTACAGGAGGGGAAAGAATCAAATAAAAAATCATACCCACAACTTAGACCGTTCTTTTTTTTAAGGGGGGTGGATGGGGACAGAAGAAGGAAGGTTGGTGGATGGATGGAGCACCACCACCACCAACAGCATACACAAGATATGTGTATGGCACAATACCATGCCATACACAAGATATGTGTATGGCATGGTATTGTGCCAGAAATTCCAACATCTGAGAAAGCAGATTTGAAATGTGCGTGGATATCTTACAGGAGGGGAAAGAATCAAATAAAAAAAGAAAGAGACATTAACTAAAGTAAATGCTTTTGTCTGATGCCCTTTTGTAGGACTGGCAGATCCGTTGGCTTTAACACAAGCAGTTGCTGCTTATCAAGGCTGTCACTTTATTGGAATGCCAGAATGTGAGGTAAAGGCTTCATTAATTCACTGGTCTGAAAGTACTGCAAACTGTAAAACCTATCTGTAACTATAAAGAGAAACAGATTGCAAGGGCAGGATCAACTTAGTTACTTGGTCATTTGGCATGCCCCTTCTTTGACAAGAGAACATTGTAGCTCTTAAAATAGATATTGTAGCTTAAAATAAAATTCACTGTTTATTTATTGTTAAAACGTGATGTGTGAACTTAGGTCATTTTGCTCTGTCCATTTTTCTCTACTATAAATAAAATTATATATTCTGATATTCTAAAGTAGCTATTATTTGTGTGATGTGTGAACTTAGGCCATTTTGCTCTGTCCATTTTTCTCTATTATAAATAAAATTATATATTCTGATATTCTAAAGTAGCTATTATTTGCTAGTAGTGAAAGTCATGAAGGACTGTGTTGTTGTTAAATAATAATATTCATACTCAGTAGCTGGCAGAGGTCAGTTTAAAAACGTAATACCTGTTGTGTTACACAAATAACCTGAATAATGGACCTTTTCCCAAAGAGCTTAAAAGAAGTTATGTAACATTTCCCCTTTACTTTTTTCCAGGTGATTCTAGCACAATGTGTAGTGTACTTTGCCAGAGCTCCAAAGTCTATAGAGGTATACAAGGCATATAGCAACGTCAAAGAATGTCTGAGAATGCACACGGGACCTCTGCCACCTGTTCCACTGCACCTGAGAAATGCCCCAACAAGGCTCATGAAGAATTTGGGCTATGGCAAAGGCTATAAATATAACCCTATGTACAAGGAACCTGTAGAGCAGGACTATCTACCTGAAGAGTTGAAAGGAACAGACTTCTTCAAGGAGCAAAAGACATGATCACAGTGCTTGGAATGGGTTTTGATTTTATGACTCATACATTTCTACCACGATAGAAATTCCCCTTACAGTGTCAGCCCTCTGTTACTGTGGTTGAAGGTATTAAACCACTGAGCCTTTGAGACACTTTTTTATCCTGCTGGCTTCACTGCTGTTATTCTGCAGGTATTTTGTAAAGATTTGCAGTTAGGAAATGTTGAAATGCAAAAATAAGCTTTCTCTATATAGTGTTGTCACTCTCTGGTTCATATGACAAATAAAAAAGACTTGTATTTCTGACCCTTGCTGTGAGGCAAGGAATATTACTGTGCTGCTTTTTAAAATCAGAATCTAGTTCAGATTTTGAGAATTGTCTATTTTCCAAAAAAAAGTAAATTCTATCCCTGCTGCTAAAATACTGTAAACAAAATATAATTACAGCATAATTTTTGTTCTTAATGATTTTCCAGAGACAAATTTTGTACAACAGTTATTAAACCAATAAAGTTGTTAAAAATGTCTATGCTTTTGTTTAAATATTTTTACGATAGCAGTCTGCTTTTAAAAGTTTGATGTCCCTTTAATTTTATTATCCCTACTCTCCAGAGCAAGTTTAAAACATTTTGTAAGTAGAATATGAAAATAGCCAAATTATGTTAGTTTTTAAAGTTTTATCACATAAAATTTTCGTGTGATGGCATTTTGGGAAGTTCTTTTTGAAAGGAGATTCCTGGTACTGAAATATGCTTGTATATTTCCAGTTGTACATTAGGAATTAGCTTTGAACTGGAAAGCTGAGAGACAGAAATTGATTTAGTGCTGTTGTAATAGTGCGTTTGGCTTCCTCTTCCTGCT